ACCGTTTCGAAAATAATTCGTAAATTTAATAAAACAGGGAACGTTTCAACAGCTTTTAAGTCAGGAAGACCAAGAAAGTTGTGCAACAGGACAATGAAAGTAATGAAGAGAATATCAATGGGAGATCCAAGAAAAACATCCACAGACATTTCTCGAGAAATGGGTGAAAGGGGATATCGGTGTCTGCACGCATGGTGAGAAGAAGGTTGGATGACATGGGACTTTTTGGAAGAGTCGCGGTGAAGAAACCACTAATATCAAAGAAAAATAGGATGGCCCGCTTTAAATTTGCTCAAGATCATCTCACCTGGTCTTATCAGAAATGGAATGTACTGTTTAGCGACGAAAGCAAGTTTCAACTGTTTGGTGGTGACGGGAGACGTTATATCCGAAGACCAAAAGGTACACGGTACAGCCATAAGTACCAGATGCTCACAGTAAAACATGGGGGTGGGAGTATAATGGTGTGGGGGTGTTTTTCTCGCTCAGGTGTTGGTCCTCTCGCTCAGGTTGGATAATGGACCGTTTTTTGTACAAAGACATATTGGATAATAATATGCTGCCTCATGCTGATGAAGAAATGCCACTCAGATGGTTGTTCCAGCAAGACAATGATCCCAAGCACAAATCTCAGTTTGTTCAAAATTGGTTAAATGAACATAATGTTCCACTAATGGATTGGCCCTCACAGTCTCCGGATCTTAACGCCATAGAAAATTTATGGGACCATTTGGATAGGAAAATTCGAAGCCATTCTATTTCAAATAAAAATGAATTATGGGAAGTGCTAAAAACTGAATGGGCGGCCATTTCCAGTAAAGATTGTACGAGATTGATCGATTCGATGCCACGAAGATGTAGAGAAATAATTAATTCAAAGGGATATTCCACTAAATATTAGTAATTTTTATATTATCTTGAATTTTAATAAACATTCTTCTTAAGTTTCCATACTTTTGACCAAGAAAATATTATAATTTTTTATATATTTTTTGATAGCTGTAATTTTTTATTTAAATGTATTAGGTTTTGTAGGAAATTATTTGTAGGTCACGATTATATAAGTCGTTTTATTTCATATTTTAATTTCTCAGCATAAATGACAAATTAAAAAAGTTTCCATACTTTTGGCCACCACTGTACATATAAACGCGGATTTTTCATCCAAAAATATTTTCATCAAACGTATTACAGATATTAGACATTTTAATATGGCAAGACTGTCGCTTTCAGTTCCACACCGTCTTCGATATGCCTTCGCTGGCCTAATTAGAGAAAATAAGTGTTTTATGCGTTGGCCGCAGAACGATTGGTGTCTACACCGTACAGCACTTGCGACCTAAGCGGAAATCAAATCGCCCATTAGGTTGCTTATCTTCCCAATTCCTTTATTCGACGATTTTAAGCTTTAGCTACAGCTAGTAAAGCGTTCCGCCAGACAAGACACGAGAAATTTAGTTTTAGAAGGGTAGGCAGACCTCTAATTGCTTTAATTCGCAAGAAATAAAAGAGATAATAAATCACTCGGGGAAAAAGCCGAAACAAAATTTTGAAAATGGAATTGCCGCTGGCGCCATCGTCCCAAACTTTCCGGATAATTAATTTCAATGGCTGATTATAAATCATCGACGGCCTTGCACAACACTTATTTTATTTAATTAATACTAGAAGGATCGCGGTCGTGAAGTAACTTTCAAATAAATCAAAATCTTGCGTTGAAGTTCAGGCGCTGTTCGAAAAAGCGTTTTTAGGCGCTTCCGTACCTCAAAGGGAAAAAACGGAACCTTTATCCCAAGTAGCATTTTTAGACACAAAATCGAAACAAAATCTCTGCTGAGATTGCGAAACAGTTTTGTCACATTTTTGATTCATATTAGGCCAGTGCAAATAATTTTGAATTTGCAAAACTTTTTAGAAAGCTGCGACCATTGAAAATAGTTAGTCTTAGTAACCCTTATTCACATACTAAAAGTCCCCATTTGTCCGATGTGTGCGTCATCAAAAAAAATCGGCCGCCATCTTGAATTTTGGTACTTTTTCGGAAAAAATATAAATAACTCGAAAACGCAGCGTTATAGCGAAAAACTTTAAGAGGTAAAAATTAAAGAGAATGAAAAACTCTATCAGAATCAATAAAGAATAGTTTATTATCTTAACGCAGTGACCTACAAATTTTTTTTGAAAATCCAGCAATTTTTAAAAGGAATCACCGAAATGCAAATTACTATTTTTTTAAGCTTATTAACAAATAACATGGATATTTAGCATCAATCCAACTAAAATACAGTCCTTGTGACATTTTCAAGATATATTTATTGGTGGTTTAATAATATTTCAAAATTAACAAAAATTGTCAAAGCTATCCTTTACTAAATACATGTGTACTAATAATGTGCGAAAGCAGCCTCCACCTTGTTCCGGTCGGGGCTATTTGCACTTACACCAAGGTCTTTTTGTTACCATTTTGTAAACAACTTGTTTTAAATACAGTGACAGTTTGAAAAATTAGGCTACAGGTTGGAAGAAAAAAATAAAATGTAATAAACTACTTGCGAATACCTTTTTGACATAAATATCATCTATCATCTACGATCTTAACCTAAGATCTTAACACTTTTTCATTATGATAAATACATTATAAACATACCCCTACAAATCGAATAGCAAAAATTCAAATTATGACCATTTTAATAAAAATGTGTTACCAACTTGTAACCTAACTTTTCAAACTGTCATCTCTAGAAAAAAAAATGAAATTTACAATTTTATTCGATTTGTTCTTCATCGACCGATATTTGCTTGTCGACAGCGCGCGCCTCCACAGAATTGTAACAGGGTTGTGTCGAACGATAACAGGGTTGGCGACTAGGGAACGTAAAAATTACGCGTCAAATAAACTATCCGGCCTGAACGAGAGGGAATCCGGTGATGATAGGCCAAACATCATATATTATATATAAAAAAAACATGTAACGAACTAAAAACGTTACAAACTTCAGAGCAAAAATCGATTATATTTACGCAATTAAGGGATGGGGAAACGGCTAGTGCCACCACATTGGACACATGTTAAAAAGCCATATAAAATATATAGGTTTCAAAAATGTTTCCATTTTGTGTCAAGAAATAGACACAATTATTGTTACATTACCAAAAATGTATCCAAAAATGCTACTTGGGATAGGATCACTTTGTTGGCCGTCCATCTGACTGTGAAGACCCTTTATCTCGGGAACACGAGAATACTCCTGTGTAAAAATCTTTCCAATCCAGAAAATCCTCATAGAAATGGTTATTTCCGATATGGAAGTTTCCAAAATGACTTTCTATTTTTGATAATAGTTTTGGACAGACCGAAAACAATACTTAACCTTTCTTACAACTCATCCTTCCAAAGGCCATTAATCTAGCTACTGACAGCCGACGATATGAATATTTAAGGACGTCGCTACGTCATCGGGGACAACGGGGATATGTAAAGGAGAACTGAATTGTCGCAGGTACGGCATCGGCAGCGTCGCGTCGGGACGCCAGGCTGGCAGGCGCCGTTTTTACGATGACTGGTCGAACGGGTGGAGGGCCAAAGTTGGAGGACTAGGAATGTCCGTTTTTTTTAATATCGATATATTTTTTTACTATTTTCCAGACCGAATCATGCTCATAGTGTTCTTAATGGGCTATACAGGGTGAATCTTAAATAAGTCCTACAATTTTAGGAGTACTGCATTTCGATCCCAAAAACACAATTATGAAGTTTTTTCCGCGAAATTTTTTTCGGAAATTTGGAATATTTTGATTTTTTATTTTAGTTTTTAGTTAAAAGACAAAATTTCTTGATGATATGATAACATAGATAGTAGATTAAATTTACAAGAAAGAAAACCAAGAAAAGATCCGGTGGTTCTCAAAATTTAAGCAGAAAATCGTTTTTGTTTAATTATCAAAGTGAAATAACTTGGTTATTTTAGATTTGTTTGAAAAACGGTAAAAATATGTTTATTTTATCGAGATCTACCAGCCCTGAAAATATTTGCACTTATTTAAGACTCACCCCATAGAGAAAGATAATAAAAAGAGAGAAGCAGATTGCGTAGTAAAAATTGGAATCGCATTCATTAGCGCTGCTGTGACAACAGGACAAACTAATTTAAAAAAAATTGGCGAATACGCCGGGGAATTTTATTCAACTTGCTTTACTTTGAATTTATTTGAAACTTTGATTGATGCTATTAACTAATACACCGACGAAAGTTGAATTTGTTATTATTTAAGTGGGTATAATTAAATATTTTAAAACAAATTATGATATTATTAAACAGACAACTAAAATTTTTAAATGGTTAATTGGCAAATTCATCTTTCGAAGATAAAATCCTAGAAACTCAAACAATTTTTCTGTCCACGCCCCAATTTCCAATAAAGTTATGATAGAGACAACACACAACGTCCACACCGATCATGGCTTGTGCAGTTGCGTTAGAGGAAGATGGAAGCAAAATCGTCAGTCGTAGCTCAATTTGGACAAATTTAGGAGATCTGAGTTGCGCGACAGGAAAACAAAATGCGATGCCATTCGTCATAATTGAATCTGCCACTCTCTTTTTATTACCTTTCTCTATGACTCACCCCATGATACAAAGAATACAAGGTATGATATTGCGCAGGTTGGTCATTACGTCACAGGTGATAAACGGCACCATTGGTCGGCAAGCTCTGCGCGCCAATTTCAAATTGTCAAACAGAATGTGTCATCTGTGAAATTTGATTGTGTCAAAATGTGAAAATAATTTTTCAAATGTCAAGCTCGATGTCAAAACATAACTTTTGGGGTTATGTCCTAATTCTTCCCTTATTTTAGGTCTTTTTTATTAGTGGCAATTGGACAATATGGATATTTTTTGTATGGCGTATGACGTCACAGGTGGTATGCGCAAACTTAACGAAATGGAGCCGCTATCGATCATACCTTGTTTTCTTTGTACCATGGGTCGCTAATATGGAGTCTAAAAGGAGGAGGCGAATCGAACGCAAAAATTATGGGCCCAGTTTTTGAGATCTAAATGAAGTTCGAAAATCGCCGTTAGGGGCGCTTGTGATGATTGGGATACTAGAAATACACAGCTTCTTATGGCAAGAATAACTATTTTGTTATAAATTATAGAGCCAAGTTAATATTTGGGCATATTTTTACCAGAGTTAGCTTTTAGAAACGTGGTTTTTCTAATTGAGCAATGTGCGTGGCTAAAATTGTGAATACAAAACCTTAAATTTGAGTTTGAAAAGTTAGTTAGGTTATATTAGATGCCGGTTTAATATATCCTTTTCCTAAGTTGATATTATAAAAATGTTTTATTATGTGGTTCTTTTTAGTGCATACACGACCGAAGAAACATATAAGCTGCTAAAATAAATCTTCCCTAGAACTGTTGTACAAAAAAGATAGAAGTTCCAGCAACAAATTTATCACCAGTTCAACCTTTGATTTGATGTAAACAGTAATTGTTTCTTGATGAGAAATGCGAATGAAATAGTTTATGGTGTGATTGTGTTAGTGTTTTATTAATAGTTTTGTTGATGCAGTTTAAAGGTTCATAGTTTTTCATTAAAACATTTGAAATTGACATGTTTACATGCAGTTTAGTGTGATACCATTTTAATAAACATTAAAATCTTTCGAACTAGTAGTGGTTTTATGGCGATTGACAGATTGAATAACGAAAATTAAGAGTATTTTATCAGGAATAACTTAATCATAAATGGAAACTGAAGACGAACGTTACCATTGCACCCTTTGATCGGTGTTATCTATTCCATAACTTTTTATAGCTGAAACTAGAGAGTAGGTATATTGAGCTGAAACGTTTCCTGTGTTCAATAGCGTTTTTTCTAGCGTTGAATTGTAAGTTTTAATGTCATTAGCAAAGTTTTGCAAATTGTCACTGTTTCGTAGACAATTAAATTCAAGATATATTATATTCAATGTCACCTAATAATTGTAAAGGTTTTTCTATTGATATTCACTTTATTAATATAAGGTAGGTTTGTAAATAAAATATTAATGAATAAATAATGTACTCAGTTTATTTCAAAAGCACAAAAATACAGAGTTGTGAATATGTATATACGCTGACTTATTTCATCATATAAATATTTATTTAGCAATATTAATACATTACAACTTTTGTTTCTATTAACTAATTCCACTAAATTTAATAAATAAAATATACAATATATAAATTTAATATACAATTTAGCACTTAGATATTAAATATCTATATGTACTATGCCAAAAAATAAAACAGGAACATCATATTATATCAAGAACACAAAAAATTACAATTTAAAAAAAAATGCATTCTAAAAAAATACCTAGCTACAATATACCTACATATTAATTTAAAGAGCTTATTCATATTCATAAAAACTATTCTAAATGGTTTATATACACAATCAAAAGTATCAACCACAATACAATAATTTTCAACATGATTAATAGGCAGACCTTTTACTTTTTTTGAATTAGAAACTTTTTCAGTTGCTTCACTCCTTACACATGGTGGTTTCCTCTTTCTTTTATTACTAGAGAAATATGAAGGCAGGTTAGGAAAAATTCTTGGAATTGAACCCTCCTTTAATAATGGTCTACCCCGCTCAATTCTACTGATAGTTCCGTCAGTTAATTTGATCTCATAATGAGTCAAAATATCTTCATCTAGAAAATGTAGTTCACAAACAGCATCTTTGCTGCTAAGTGTCTTGTCTGATCTGGGTATCGCCTTTTGCCACTGCTGTAGCAAGCTAGGATCCTAATAAAAGATATATAATTGTTAAATAAAATAAAAAAAAAACATTTTTCACTATTAAAGCTGTTATTTTGAGAATACGATCTTGAAGTATAAATATTTAATATTCACTTTCAATAGCACTGTTCAAACTGTGGTTAATATAGGTACATGTCAACAGGTAATTTTAGCACCTAGTAAGTATTAAATTATTTTAATTTTATAACAAGGCCTCCTAGGTTATGTTATACACATGTTGATTTTAGGCTATATTTCCTATTAATTTGGTTTATAATTTAATCTGTACACTGACAGTATATAATTTTAATGTTTTTCTTAACATCTATCCATAATTTTTATAAATAAATAGTCATACTACTTACATTAGGAGCTTTGAAAAGGCTTGGGTTTCTTTCACCCCGTTCTTTATTTGCCTTGTTTTTATTGGGATTCCCACTTGTACAGCCAGGTACAAAGCAATTTCTACCACGACTCATTGTTGTACTGCTAAAAATTCAGTAAATTAACTATAAATTTTATTAAAAACACAATTAAATCGTATACTAACAATGAAAATGTAGTATCCCAGTCGATCGCAGTGCCTCTGCTGTCAAACCGAGGAAGCTGCTTAAAAGTGGGGACAGAAATTTCAAATTTGCCCATTGCCGATAAATCTCCTTTTTAAGCCCTCCATACCATGGACTCACCCTCACCCAGACACACCTCTAGGATAGCCCATTATTGCCATTGAAAGGGTAAATAAAAATAATATACATGCTTACTTCATCTACGTTACCGTAGATGGAGCTGAGGCTTGGTAGGGTATTTATAAATAAACAAAATGAAAGAAGCAAAAAATTAAGGCCCAGAAAACCCTAACATATATGCTTATTCTCTGCATTAAGTTCATCAGACCAAAGGGAACAGCCATTCGACGACCGGTTTCGGAGATTTATCTCCATCGTCAGGCCGACTTTGCTGTAACCCTCGATCTGACAAACGAAAAGCAGAGAATAGCATTTGAGTACAAATCGTACTACTATGGCGAGTGCTAGACCCTCTACGCCATCTAGCGGCCGCTGTGACAATCACAGATCGTACCGCCAAAATCTGAACTTTGTTATTTGTAAAACAATATTTCATTATCGATATTCTAAAACACGTCGATACATTTACACATCCCTACTGGACAGGAAAAGTTTTGCGGCTCTCCATTTGGGGCGGTTAGAGTAGTAGCATGCCGACCAAACTTTATTAGGGTTAGGCAGTAATATCGCCTTGGTGGGGCTGGCGAAACTACGGAAAGAAAAACTTTGCCCGTTTCCGAGACTATAAAATATCCATGCGTAGGCGAATGAGTCAACAATTGTGACTAACAAGGCCCTTGTTGTCGTTTCACAAACTTTGTCTTAACCGACTACACAGAATAACATAACTAAAGTAATGAAAAGCCTTCTTATTAAGGTTCCGTAGGCTCAAACTGAAATATGGAACCCGTATAGGATCACTTTGTTGTCTGCCTGTCTGTCAAAATCCTTTATTTCGGGAACGCGTGGAACTATCGAGGTGAAATTAAAACCACATACTTAGATCTACAGTCTCTTGAAACTTTAAAAAAATCAAACTTCTAGTTTAACTCGAAAAAAAGATACGGCCGTTTATGCCACCAAAAAAAATACAGGGTGGCGCACCTCATTCGCCTCGGTTGATTATACGAAAACGGAAAGATATAGAAATAAAATATTTTATGGGTATATGTGGGGAGGCAATGTGCACAATCTAAAATTATTTTAAAATATACAGGGTGTTTCAGAACCAAGATCCATACCAAAGTTATATTTTTTCTTATGGAACACCCGGTATTTTATTTCATTTTTGGATTCTTGGGCCAAAAAAATGCATTTGTTATAAGGGTTATGTTTAAAATCTTTGGGTATTGAGATATTTAAAGATATTTAAATTTGCATGCTACAATAGAATAAATTATTAACACCTTATACATTACTTTTCAGAATTAATTCTTGTGCTGAGTTTAAAGGTAAAGAAATAAACTTTTTTGAGAAATGGTATTGCTTACTTAAATTTATACAGGGGTATCAAAAATTACTGATCTAATTTAAGGATTTATTTTGTATAAAAAATTTCGTTACTTCAAATGCAACCCCTGTATTTTTTAAAACAAACCGAACAGATTCGAACGCTCTTTCAAACTATTTTATTAGGGTTTCCTATACCTATACCTCTCAGATTTTGAATAAAAATTAATTAAATAAGATTGCAATCAAGATGGCTAGTTAGGTTAGGTTAGGGTTGACAGTAATTATTTTCAAAGTCGACATTAGTTTATGGACATTATTATTTATAATTTATAACAGTTTACTTAGATTTTCCTACAATAGTTTGATAAGAAAGTATTCATTATTTTATCAAAAAAAATAAAGCAGTATCTGCTGGCGCAACGAATGGATATTTTATTAGTGATTTTATTTTGTGAAGAAAATTAAATTGCTTCTTGGTCTCAAGAGCTTATGCTCAAAGATATCCAAATAGGAATATTCTGATAAGCGTCCTTTGAAAAATTAATTGTCCTGTTTCGCAGAGGTGGTAGTGTGGTTTATAAAAAAAACTATTAGGCAGAAATCTGTCGTTGGAGGTGAAGAAAATTAATTTGCCGCAATTGGCTCTTAATATCTACAAGTCATTGTAAAATAAATCAAAGAACTACTGGCGTTAGTCAGTTGTATCAATAACCCATAGAGAACCTCCCTAATATTTATTTAAAAAATAAAAAAAGCTTATAAAACAATCAACTTTTGATTTCTAACCACATTTTCTCTCATTGACGGAAGATAATCACAGGCCAACAACAAACAAACAACGCTTTATTGTAGAAAAAGCCAAAACAGCTTCATCGACAAAGCACTCACAAACAACAAAATCACAAAAAAATACAAACAACAAAAAATACACAATACAAATAATACAATTCAAAAAAATTTAAGTCTTTAAAATTGCAAAAAGAATATACATGGACAATTTTAGCAGTACACAGTAAATAGATATGATTTTAGAGTTATAAAATATTAAATACTTGACCTTTGACCAGTGTGTGAGATGATCAAAATTTTAAAATTCAAAATTGTTCATAATTAAACATCAACAAAAATGTCGTTTACAGCATATAGGGCTCTCTCCAGTAAGCATGATTTTAGAGCTTTGCGAAATGCGGGAAAGAATGAAAGCGACTTGATATCCAAAGGCAGATGATTGTACATTTTTTTGGCATTGTACAGTATTGAACCTTTAACTAGTTCTGAGCTCGGGGTTGGCAGATAAAGATCGTGCTCTGCATTCTAAGTGGATAGTTATGAGATGGCCTTTCGGGAATAGCAGATATGTGCTTGCGGATTAAGCAAACGGATTCAAAAATGAATAAAGAAGGAAGAGTCAGTATTTTCAAATTTTTAAAGAAATTCTGGCAGTGAGTTCTACTGTTCAGTCTCAATAAATATCGAAGTGCTCTCTTTTGAAGTCTGAAAACACGATCAAATTTTGTTGCGCAGCAAGTACCCCAGAATGGAAGGGCATAACGAAGATATGACTCAAAAAGAGCATAATAGACTATTCTAGAGGTTGAGAAGTAAAGTTCCTTAGAAACTAATCTTAGCGCAAAACAGGCAGGCGCTTAGTTTCTTTGATAGAGCTTCGATGTGAAAGTCCCATTTTAACAAGTTGTCTACAACAAGTCGTAAGAACTTCACAGAGTCCACGACGTCAATAGTGGTGTTATTAAGTACAAAAGGTTGTATAGTACTTTTATATGACAAAACTTTAGTGTTTGATAGGTTGAGGCATAGGAGATTAGAATCGCACCAAGACTTAACGGTGCGTAAGTCACTGGATATAGTATCATATAGTGCCGCAACATCTGAGCCCCTGCAAGTGAAACTAGTATCGTCCGCAAAGAGGCAGATTTTACCGCTAATGTCTAGATTTGCAATGTCGTTGATAAACACCAGAAGCAAAATAGGGCCAAGTACGACTGTCCAAAATGACATTTCTCACAAAATTTTGATGTATATTTATTGGAAAAGTTAAAAGTTTGATATCTTTTTCTACTAATTAAAAATGTCTACCACTAATTTTGATGGTCTGAATGCTTACATTTAAAGTAGAGAAACAAACTTCTACGCTAATTGAAACCACTAATTTATTCCACTAATTGCGAGTGTGAGTGAAAGTGAGTTCCAAATGGATCTATACCGTAATTAATTTAATTGCTATTTTCAGATCTACGATTTACAAAAAAAAAATATTGGTGACTAAGTTACTAATTCATACGACATATATTAAACGATATAACGTGCGACAAAGCAATAAAACTGTAACATACATAAGAGTTGTATATTAAATAACGGCTGTAATAGCACATAGGTTCGTGTTTTACAAGTCCCCATTTCACCGGCAAAAATAATTGCAACGTCAATAGGCAAAGTAGTTTTATTACCGATTGTTTGCACATTGGCGGGGAATGAAAAACGACATGTGTACTGTGTACACTGGTAGTATACAGGGTGGCCTATACCTATACCACATAATACAAGAAAAAAAAAAGATGTGGTGTTACAATAAACTTTGGAATATGCAGTTTTTACTTGAGGCGTCAAGTTGCAAAACCCGCCTTATCCATTTAAAAAAAATGTCCTAATGACATTATACAGAATGTCCCCGGATTGTCTTTACAAGCGGAAAAACTTTTTTATTATTGACATTTTGAGAATAATGCATTCTTCATAAAAATTTTTGCTCCTTCTAAACTGGTTAATCCCGTTGATACTTTTCCAAATTTCTATACCATTCTAAAGAAAATTAAGAAAAACATGAAAATATGGTTGAATTTTAAGTCCTAATGCTAATATCAATTCGACTTCATTCTTTGATAGATGGTTATTATTAATTTTGATTAATATCATAGTCTTTGCTGTTGTTAAAGTATCATATTTTCCGATAACAATAATTATTACCCTTTCCGTAGCGTTGAGCTAAATAAATTTTGTGCTTTTTTAACACAGTAGTACCACAACCGAAAAATGTTGCCCCATTTTTAAACAAAATTATTTTTTGAAATAAACATTCAGAAAAGATTTGGAGGTTTTGAGTCCCCTACTCCTTGTTAGAGGTTTTGCAATTGAGATGTACTCACACAGGGTTGGAGAACGTTTAGTAAATTTAAAATAACCGATTTGTTTGGTTTGGTTTGTTCATATATTTTTCATTTTATTCATTTTATGCAAAGCACTGTTCATTAAAATGTTCTATCCTATGTTAAAATACTTACATTTAGAGAAACGGCAGGATCATTGTCAATCATCGGTAAAAAAATAAAATAAATATTCCGAAAATGTAAAAAAATCCAATTTTTTTGTAAAAAAATTGTCCTTAAAGATACACCTTATAAATACGGCGAATCACCCTGTGTATACACCAGAGAAGGGTGAAAATATCCCCCTATCGTGTTTATTATAACCAGTCGCTTTCGATATCATTCGAAAAGCCATAATTTTCGATACTTTACGAGCTCTCTGTTACGAAACGTATGTTGTACTGAGTGTTTGCTAGAGTTAAATGTCGTACTACGCCTTGGTACAAATTGAAGCCTGTTTGCACACTGTCTAGACGCATAAATCCCTTTCTT